TGGGCAGCTCTGTCTCCCAGGCATTCCAGGTGCCAGTTGAAACAGCTGCCCAGATTTGTGTGAGCTTTTTGTGCAGAGACGCACTGTGCCAGCTGAAACAGTCATGCTGGAAACTCGTGGGGCTTTTCAATCTGAGAATCTCCTAGTCTGTGGGCAGTAATAACTCATTTGGAAATGTGGTGATCACTCACCCTCTGCATTGTTCTTGCTGGGAACTGCACTCCAGAGCTCTTCCTATTTGGCCATCTTGGATCCCTATCCAGGTATGATTTATATTTCTAAAAGCATGTAATGCTCTTTTCTTGAGAGGATTCTGGTACTAGAACTACTTCTAGAATGTACTTGGCTCCAGTCAGTGGCTCTTCAATGGTGGACCTTTTGAATTGAAAATAGTGGACAATATAGGTATGAATAGGTCATATGTCTAAAAACTCATGCTATCACATATCATGCATTCATTTTTTGAATGCAGTCAGTACTCTTTCATTTGGGCATTTTTTCATTTATATAAGTATTTAATTTTGAATAAACTAAAAAATACTACAATTGTGTAGGATTACTACTTTTAAAGTACTTCAGATGCTTCAAAGTTAGATTTCTGGAGATAGCCTTGTACTCTTCTTTGTGTATGTGTGTGTCCATTGTTGAATTCTATTTGTAGTTAGCAGATATGCTATAAGGTGTAACATATATATAAGCTATATAACCCAGAGCTATACAATTGACCATTGCACAGCAACACAGGGGTTAGGGATGCTGGCCTCCTGCACGGTTGAAAATCTGGATATAACTTGATGCCCCCAAATCTTAATTACTAATAGCCTACTGTTGACCAGAAGCTTTACCAATAACACAAATAATTGAATAACATATTTTGTATATGTATTATAAACTGTATACTTACAATAAAGTAAGCTAGTGAAAAGGCAGTGTTATTAAGAAAATCATAATGAAGAGAAAATACACTTACAGCATTGTACTATATTTCTCAAAATACTGTGAATTTATATTTTCTGTTTATGAGAGGAATCATCTGTTTGAAATGGTGGGCAACTACAGCTGCAGACCTCAGTCTACCGTACAGATCAAGCAATTATATTTTTTTCTTGTAATATCATGGCTTTTCTGCTTGTTGGGAGCACTTCCAGAATCACTAGTCACACTTCGTATGGATCCCATTGTGTTATTCAAGGTTTATGATATTGCGCTAAACACAATGAAAAATATGCAAGATCATGGTCACGCAGATATCTTTTCGGCATACTGATTTCATTCCCTTTGGGTATATACCCAGAAGTAGGATTGCTGGATTATATGGTAATTCTATTTTTAATTTATTGGAGGACCCTCCATAGAATTTTCCATAATGGCTGTGCCAGTTTACTTTCCCACCAATGATGGAAAAGTGTTTTTTCTCTCCCCATCCTTGCCAACACTAGTTATCTTTTGACATTCAAAAAAATATCCTTTCTAACTGGTGTGGGGTGACATCTCATTGTAGTTTTGATTTGTATTTCCTTGATGATTAGTGATGTTGAGCATCTTTTCATATATCTGTTGGATATTTGTATGTCTTTTGTGAGAAATTCAAGTCTTTTGTCCATTTTTATTGAGTTATTACTATTTTTTTGCTATTGAGTTATTTCAATTCCTTATGAATTTTGGATATTAACCCCATATCAAATATATGGTTTATAAATACTTTGTCCCGTTCCATAGGTTGCCTTCTAACTTTACTGTTTGATTCTTTTGCTGTGTAGAAATTTGTAGTTTGATGTTTATTTTTGCTTAGTTGCTTGTGGTTCAGAAGAGGATACAGGGTCTCATTGGCTTGGGAAGCTAGGGTCTACAGCTTTGGTAACTGCATGGTCCTTGGTGGTTGTAAAGGCTGTTTGGGTTCTCAGTGGAGCTTTGCGTTCAGTGGCAAGAGACTAGGGTAGGAGGTGGTGAGGTCCAGGACTGATGGTGTACACATGCTCTGCTGCAGGCACATGCATGGCAGCAGAGTCTGACTGCAGGTACTCATGTGGTGGTGAGGGCTGGTGGCTTGCATGTGCACAGGTACAGGATTTGGGTCTGGTGGCATGCCTGTGCATGGTTGCAGGGACTTGTTGCATGTGTAAGCATGGTAGTGAGGGCAGGCACCAGCTGGTGGAGCCAGCTGCAAGTGCATGCATAGCTGCAGGCCAGTGCTGTTGGAGAGCATGTGTGCAGCTGCAGGAGCCATCTGCGGGCACAAGTATGATGGGTGGCCAGTGATGGAGGTTGGGTTGACGTGTGCACATGCACAGCTGCACAGAACCAGAGCTGGCAGCATTCATGTACACTGCTGCAGGGGTTATCTGTGGATGTGAGCATGACAGTAAGGGCTGGAGACAGGAGTCAGGAGTCAAGGCTGGTTTCTTGTGTACGCACAGCAATGGAGACCACAAAAGGTGGCCAGTACACGCACAATTCCATGGGTCAGCTATAGGCATGTGTAGGACTGTGCAGCCTGGCAACAGGGGTTGGTCAGCTGTGTGCACATGCACAGCTGCAGGGACCACGAGAGCTTTTGGTGTTGTACACGTGTTGCAGGAACCAGCTGCAGACATGAATGTGATGGTAGGGGTTGGCAACTGGAGTCAGGGCCAGCTGTGCATGAACACATACAACTACAGAGTCAGTCAGACACACATGCAGTAGCACAGGCCCAGGCTGATTGTGCACACATGCAAGGTGGATGTGTGGGGTCACTGGGCTGGAGTGCCCACAGCAGCAGCAGCTGGGGATGTTCCAGGAGTAGGGGGAGAAGAAGGGAGGTGACTCTGGCAGCTGGGGATTGCGAAGGTAAAAAACTTCACAGCCCTCGAGGCAATCGTTGTCCACTGCAGCAATGCTGAGTTTCCTCAGCAGCAAAAGGCTTCAAGGGCTGTTAAGGTCTTCATTAAAGAAGGCCGCTGGAGTCCTGTGCAAAGCAGACTACTGGGCACCACAGTGGCTCCTCCAACATCTAGACACTGATAACCCCTACCCATTTTGTTTGTTCCTAACCATCTCCAGGCATCTAAACTGCCGGTTTCCCCAACATTCAGAGTGGGGTGAAACTGAAGCAGATCAGTCCCACAGAGTGTCATGAGGGCTGAGAAAGCCAAATGCTCATCCTGCCCTGTAAGAGGAACTCACGAGCTTGGGAATATTCTCTCTCTGTCAGCTGAGGGATGGGATGATGCAGGTAAAATGAAACTGTCACTGTCCTTCCTACCTTTTTTTTTGAGACAGAGACTCACTCTGTCACCCAGGCTCAAGTGCAATGGCGTGATCTCGGCTCACTGCAACCTCCGCCTTCTGGGTTAAAGTGATTCTCCTGCCTCAGCCTCCCAAGTAGCTGGGGTTACAAGCATGTGTCACCATACCTGGCTAATTTTTGTATGGTTAGTAGAGATGAGGTTTCACCATGTTGGCCAGGTAACCGGTCTTGAACTCCTGACCCCTTGATCCGCCTGCCTTGGCCTTCCAAAGTGCTGGGATTATAGGCATGAGCCACCGCGCCCAGCACATCCTACCTTTTTAATGCAACTATTCTCAGTTTTTTTTTTCTTCAACTGTGCTGCTAGAGCTTCTTAAGTGGACTCTTGTGCTCTTTTGGAGCTATTTTTGTTCATGAATGGCTGTCCAGTTGTTGTTCTTTTTTGGAGGAAAAAAAGGCTGGGATCTCCTACTATGCTGTCTTGCTGATGTCACTCATTCCTGCCAGTAACTGCAAAGTTCTTGGTGTGAGAAGTGGTAAGGATGGAAGTGCCAATTTGAGATGTGGAAAACTGAGAGGAGACAAATTGGGTGCATAAGAAGAATAGCAAGAACTCAGCTTTAGTCGTGTTAAATTTGTGTAGACATGTGGGTAATTGATTCTGAGGTTAGTTAGTGCCAGAGGTATACACATTTTGAAGTTATCCCTAAGATATTATATTAAAAATGTATGTATATTAAAAGAGAAAAAGAGAAATGGTCCAAGACACGTGTCTTGTGTCATTTATAATGCTTGGTAGTAAGGTAAGGAAATGTTTAACATTGTGGATGTTGCCAGTTTTCCAAAATGGTGTGACCATTTCCGCTCCCACCTGCAGTGTTTAAGATTTCTAGTTCCTCCAGATCTTTGGTGTTTATATCCTGCAACTCACTTTTAACTTATTGTAAAATTCCATTTGAAACTACTTGTTTATAAATGTAGTGTAATATACATATTTAAGAGTTCAGGGCAGGCGCAGTGGCTCATGCCTATAATCCCAGCACTTTAGGAGGCTGAGGTGGGTGGATCGCCTGAGGTCAGGAGTTCGAGACCAGCCTGGTCAACATGGTGAAACCCCGTCTCTACTAAAAATATATATATATACAAAAAATTAGACGGGTGTTGTGGCAGGCGCCTGTAATCCTGGGTACTTGGTAAGCTGAGGCAAGAGAATCGCTTGAACCCAGGAGGCAGAGGTTGCCATGAGCTGAGATTGCACCATTGCACTCCAGCCTGGGCAACAAGAGCGAAATTCCAACTCAAAAGAAAAAAAAAGAGTTTATCAACTGAACAAAACACCTAGGGAATTGATTTATTCTTGCAGTGGCAATATTTCCTAGTAATAGCTTAGAGCCAGAGTGAGGAGGTGCACAGCGAGTTACAGTGTACTATGATTTTACGTAATTTTTCTACCACTAATACCATTCAACATTTATTAGGTGGTTACTAGTGCCAGGCATTATTCTATGAGCTCTAAACATACCAATTAATTATCACAATACTTCTATGTCATGAGGACTATTATTCTGCTTCTCATTTTATAGATGAAGAAACTGAGGAACAGAGAAATTAAGTGCCTTGACTATTTGCAAACTGAGTAAGTGGCAGTGTCAAGACTTTAACACAGGTAGCCAAGTTCAAACTTTTGCTCTTACCTATGTACTTGACTGCCTCTTACTAAGGACTTGTGAACATAACCAATTGTTTAATAACTCCTGTGTTTCTCCCTTAGATTGGCTGTGATGAAAAGTTCACACTTTTTCTCCATTTAACTTTGTTAAATCAGTAAAGGAGAATCAATGTCTAAAGGATTATCAACTTCTTTTCTGACAGATTTACAAGGTGTCTGTTTAAACATGTGCAAAATGTACCTTGGATCTACTAAAAGCTATTTTAGGGTATTACAATGTCCCAGAGTAATGTGTGACATTTAACATAACTTCAATTAATATATAATGACACTCAAATTTCTCATGGCTGCTTTAGGTTTTGTGCCTTATATGGGGGACTGATTAGAAGTTGAGGCACCTGAATCATCAAGCCATGCTCAGTGGAGCCCATGAGCTGTAAGCATGTGGATGAGGTAATTTGTTTCCATGTTGCACTTGTCATTAGTTTCTTTGAAACCTTCCTTTAGTGATAATTTTTATGCTCAGAAGTCTGTTGGGTGTGCTGGGAAATCTAGAAAATATGAGAAAACATATTTGTTTTTTACCAAAAGTAGCCTGTTTTCTTATTGAAATGGCAGGACTCCAAAAAGAAAATAATTAGAAAATCATGTAGACCATGTACATAAGTAAGTTCTAAGTTATATAGTATATTTGGTATTTTAATGTTATTAGGATGTTCTGAGAACAATAGGAAGAAAAACTGTAATCCAGAAAACTCTGTATGCCAGAAAATTGCTGGGAAAGAATGAATGGAGTGGGTTGTGGGATTTGAGCTTTCCAGTAAATGCTGGGTATGATTTCGGTAGTGAAGCCTGAAAATGAGAAAGAAATTCATTTTGAACAAAGGTACAGATGAAATAGGGAGCTTGGAATGTGACACAGGAATCAGGGAAAAAATGATAGTCTACTTACTGCCATATTCCTTTCTCATTCAACCCCTTTCACTGTCTCAACCTTAACTACAGAGCTTTATGGACATTGTGTGTAGTATTCAGAGCAGAGCTTCTCAACAGAGACCTAGGCCCCATTCCCAGAGATTCTGATTTAATTGGCTTAAAATGCGATCTGGGTATAATTATTTTTACAAAGTACCCCTGGTGTTGCCAGTGTGCCAAACATCTTGGGAATCATTGATGGAGATGGAGTGACTTGAAGATTAGAGCCAGAGTGAGGAGGTTCAGGGCCAGTTAAAGTATACTATGCTTTTACATAATCATTTCCACCATTTATAACTACAGGTCTGCATTACTAGTCTACATGGAAGAAATGGGGTGATAGACGATAGTATCCTTTTCACCTTGGATTCTCTGAAACTTCCTGATGGATACATACCTCAAAGATACGATATTGTCAATGTGGTCATGGTTGAGAGCATTCAAACCTGCTGTATTTGGAGAGCAGTTTCTATTACCCCAGTGCAAAGGTTGTCATAATAAAACACTTATTCTTGGTTCATCTTCTCTTCTGTGGGCAGTAAAGGGCCTAGTTTAATTGAAGAGCTTAGCTTAGTAAACCTAACAATATTTTACACATGACTTTTCTGGTAAATTTAATTAAGACACTGGCTAGTTCACTTGGACCATGAAGCCACTTTAGTGAAGTGCCTTATCAATGATAAAGTGTGCTAAAGCTGGCAAGTGACTGTAGGTAGGGAATTCTTGGAAACGACACAACAACTAACCTTAATTCCTTGTTTTTTATTACCGTGAGTGAATTATAAGATGGCAGAGGCCTGGGGCAGCCCTGAAGGCACCATCAGAGGCAAAGAATTTAACTGAAGAAGCAGCAGAGCCAACGTGTTAAAAGCATGATTTAAAGTTACAATGTGACTTCAATTTTGAGTCCCCCTTACACTGTTTTTATTTTTCATCTTATATTTACCTATATAATTTGTTATGCCAGGACTTATTTGGGTCTGTTTTTCTCCTTAATGCATCACAAAGCACTTAGAAAAGTGCCTGGCATATATTAAGGGCAGATTAAATGTTGTTAAATTCAATGAACGGGTGATCTGGCCAACAATAATGCTTAAGTGTGGGTAATTCATGACTTGTTTTCTAGGAATAAAATTGTTGAGCAATCCATTAAGATTTCACTTGATAGCTTACCAAGCACGTCTCCAGATCTGGTACACATAAGCGTGAAAGTGGCTGAAGATCTACTTTTGGGAGAAGTGCAGTCCAACTCCATACATGAATTAGGGGGTAAATCAGAGCCCTCTGAAGGAAGGGGAAGCTACTTACCCATGGGCTACGATGGTACTAAAATCCTACTAATACACCTGATGAAACATTTTCCTTTCTTCCTCAAACAGAGACTTAGCCAGATAACTGTAACGTAGGGGAAGGGATGTATTCAGATCTTCAGGCATCACTGGAAAGTATCTGTGAGCTCCCTTCCAGTCCTGGGGTTCATAATTCTCCCATAATCTGCTCAGTGAACAAACAAAGTTTGGTTCTTAAATTGCTTTACAAGTCTACTTACACCTTTCAAGCATCCAGTGGTTAGTTTTCCATTCTACAGGAACATAGTAGGTGTGAGTATCCTGTAGATTTTAGGCTTTCACTGTGGCAGCTCCAGGTCCCTGTGAAAGTCATCATTCAAAAGCAGCCCCATAAGCTGTGGGAATTACAGAGAAGGCTACCTTTGGACTTGAGAGATGCATGGGTCATGGGTTCTACCATCTCCCCATTTAATCCTCCGCTTTGGTTGATGTAGAAGAATGTTCTTTGAGAGTAACAGTGAATTATGGTAAGCCTAGTCAGGTGGTGATTCAATCATAGCTAGTGTTTCACAGACATCCTCACCGAAATGAGTGCATTACTTCTACACCTGGGGTGCAGTGGTTGCACAGGTGAATAATTTTCTTTCATCCTTTTAAATAGCAAAGTCCAGAATCAATTTGCTTTTCTAGGGCTGGTCCAGCAGTACTACACTTTGAATATTTGCTTCATGGAAATGTCAACCTTGAGGCTTGTTGCCATAATTTCAAATGCAGGGTTCTTAATCACCTCACCCTCAGTGAAACAACATGCTGGTCTTCCTAAATGGTGCAGGAATCCCAGGAGCAGGAAAGCAGTAGGATGGGTTAAAAGTGTATTTACTACATGTGAGAAAGAAATGCCATGAAAATACAGGAACGCTTCAATTCCTTCAATATCTGCTTCATATATTTTGATGGTCTGTTATTAGGTATGTAAATGTGTACACAATTGTCATATCTTCTTGCTGTACTGAACCATTTATGTATATATAATGGTTTTGTCTCTTGAATCCTTTTTTGATTTAAAGTCTATTTTATGTGATATTAATATAATCACTCCTGCTCTCTTTTGTTCACTATTTGCATGTCATATAGTTTTCCATCCTTTCACTTTCAATCCATTTGTGTCTTTGGATCCAAAATGAGTCTCTTTTAGAAAGTAGACACACACACACACATATATATATACATATTTTATGCATCTGTATATATATAGATAGATTACATACATACATACATATAGTTTTCAACTTTTATTTTAGGTTCAAGGGGTATGTGTTCAGGTATTTTACATGAGTAAATTGTGTGTCACAGGGGTTTGGTGCACAGCTAATTTTTTCACCGAGGTAATCAGCATAACTCCTCATAGGTAGATTTTGATCATCACCCTGCTCCCATTATCTATTCTCAAATAAGCCCCAATGTCTATCATTCCCTTCTTTGTGTCCATGTGTACTCAATGTCCAGCACCCACTTATAAATGAGAACCTGCAGTATTTGGTTTTCTGTTCTTGTATTAATTCACTTAGGATAATGGCCTCCAGATCCATCCATGTTGCTGCAAAGGGCAATGATGCCATTCTTTTTACAGCTGTGTAGTATTCCATGGTGCCAATGTACCACATTTTCTTTATCCAGTCTACCATTGATGGGCATTTAGGTTGATACCATGTCTTTGCTATGGTGAATAGTGCTGGAGTGAGCATACCCATACATGTGTCTTTATGGTAGAACGATTTATATTCCTTTGGGTACATAGCCAGTAATGGGATTGCTGGATCAAATGGCAGTTCTATTTTAAGTTCTTTGAGAAATCTTCAGACTGCTTTCCACAGTTGCTGAACTAATTTATATTCCCACCAGCAGTATATAAGCATTCCCTTTACTCTGCATCCTCACCAGCATCTGTTATTTTATTTTATTTTATTTTATTTATTTTATTTTATTGATACAGTGTCTCACTTTGTCATCAGGCTGGAGTGCAGTGGTGTGATCTCATCTCACTGCAACCTCCGTCTCCTGGGTTCAAATGATTCTCCTGCCTCAGTCTCCCAAGTAGCTGGGATTACAGGCATGCACCACCACGCCCGGCTAATTTTTGTATTTTTAGTAGAGACGAGGTTTCACCATGTTGACCAGGATGGTCTTGATCTCTTGACCTTGTGATCCGCCTGCCTCGGCCTCCCAAAGTGCTGGGATTACAGGCCTGAGGCACTGTGCCCAGCCCAGCATCTGTTATTTTTTGACTTTGTGATAATAGTCATTCTGACTGGTGTGAGATGGTATCTCATTGTGGTTTTAATTTGCATTTCCTTAATGATTATAATATTGAACATTTTTTGTATGCTTCTTGGCCACTCGTATGTCTTATTTTGAGAAATGTCTGTTTGTGTCCTTTGCCCATGTTTCATAAGGTTGTTTGGCTTTTGCTTGTTGATTTGTTTAAGTTCCTTATAGATTCTGGATATTGGATCTTTTTGGATACATAGTTTGCAAATATTTTCTCCCATTATGTATGTTGTCTGTTTACTCTGTTGATAGTAGAAAGAATATATTTGGATCATGTGTTTTTATCCAGCTTGCTAACCTCTGCCTTTTGATTGGAGAGCATAATCAATTTACATTTCAAGTAATTAAGAATAAGGAAAGACTTCTGATATTTTGGCACTCTTTTTTAATATTCTTTATAGTTTTTTGAGGGGGCTCATTGCTTGCATTACTGTCTTCTTTTGTGCTGATTCTTTTGTAGTGAGCAGTTTAGATTCTTTTCTTATTTCCTTTTGTACATGTAGTAAAGTTACTTTCTTTGTGCTTACCGTGGGGAATACATTTAACATCCTAAAGTTATAACACTAA